CCAAATTTCACTGCCAAGGTAAATATCAGGATGCTTTTCTTCTACATTTTCTTCTAGAGGTTTTATGGTTTCACATCCTTACTTCTATTTTTTTAATGGTCAAGTTCTTTTTTTTTTTTTTTTTTTTGCTTATGTATATATAAACAGTTTTCTCAATACTATTTATTTGAAAGAGTATCTTTTTCAAATTTGGTAATTTTATTGAAAATTAGTTGACGATATGTGTGTTTTCTGAGCTTTCTCATTTGTTCCACTGGTCTGTGTGTCAGCTTTTATGCCAGTACCATACTGTTTCTTTTATTGCACCTTTGTAATAATGATTTAAAGTTTGGAATTTCTGTTCTTGTTCAAGAATCTTGCTTTTCTGACTTTGTTTTCTCAGCTTATAGTTGCTGATGAATTTAGAAATTTTTTTTTCATAATCCTGTGAACAATGCCATTGGAAGTTTGAAGGGATGAAATTAAAATCTCCCAATTCATAAGCAAGAATATTTTCCCTTTCGTTTGGGACTGTTTAATTTTTTTCATAATGTCATAGTTTTTTGTGTTTAAATCTTTTCCTGTTTAAATTTGTTCTGAAATATGTTTTCATTTTTTATACTCTTGTAAATAGGATTTGAAATTTTTTCATATTGTTATTTTTAGAGTGTAGATATAATAATGATTTTCCTAGATTAACATTTGAATCCTGCAACTTGTGAATTTATTTATTCTGTTTTTTTTTTTTTTTCATGAAGTATTGTCCTTTTCCACAAACAATTTTTAGTACTTTTCTGATTTGGATGTCTTCCATTTTTCTTGGCTAATTGTTCTGGCTAGACTTTTCCCATTATTAAGTAGAAGTGGGAAGAGTGGGCATCTTGTCTGTTCTTGATCTTTTAAAAAAAAAATCTGTGAGCTTCTTCCCATTGTGTGTAATGATATTTGGTTAGGACTTCAATTATAAATTTCTAATTTCCACTATAGTTTTCTGCTTTAAAGTATCTTTAATATGAATGTGGCTTTGTCCATAGCCATTATGTATAAGTACATTTCTTTTATGTCTAACTTATTGAGAATTGTTATCATGAAATGATGTTTTATGTTATAACGTGATGTTTTTCCAATGATATAATTTGTCCTTCATTTTGCTAATGTAATGTATCGCWTTTATTGATTTACATGTGTTAAACCATTTTTGCATCCCAAGGATAAATCACTCTATCATGGTGTGTATGTTCCTTTTAATGTTTAATTTTAGTGTGAATGAATGACTGAATTTACCCATCAAAATACCTAGATTGTCTTATTGAATAATATACTTTTTCAAAAGACATCTTTGGGCTATCTATGAGAGAGTCCATCTTTTCTTTAATATATTTTTTTTTAGTTGTTTGTGGACCTTCATTTTATTTATTTGTATGYGGTGTTGAGAATTGAACTCAGTGTCTCAGCTTCACACATGCTAAGCAAGYGCTTCCTTTGTCTTTTAAAAGGACATAAGTTGACTGAAAATGAGGGGATGGAAAAATATCTCTTAGAAATTGAAACCAAGGGCTGGGGATGTAGCTCAGTGGTAGAGCCTTTGCCTAGCATGTGTGAGGCACTGGGTTCAGTCTTCAGCACCGAATAAAAATAAATAAATAAAATAAAGGTATTGTGTCCATTTTCACCTTAAAATAAAAAAGAAGTGGAAATTAAGCAAGAGTATGTATAGATGTACTTACAGGGGATAAACCGATAATGATCACTTCATCAAAAAGATATAACATTTCTAAGTATATGTGAACCCAACAGTATAGCATTCAAATAAGAAAGGCAAATATTAACAGGTGTAGAAAGAAATAGCAATACATGGGCTGGGGTTATGGCTCAGTGGCTGAGTGCTTGTAGCACATGTGAGGCACTGGGTTTGATCTTCAGCACCACATAAAAATAAATAAAGGTAATAAAGGTATTGTGTCTAAAAAATTTAAAAAAGAAAAACAATACAGTGTGTGTAGGGAATTCAATACCTGAAAATCATTAAGGAAACATTGTACATTTTAGACCAAATGGACCTAATATTCCATTCAAAAGCAAAAGAATACTGTTATTTTAAGTGCAAAAGGGAGCCTTAATGGTAGGTTATACGTTAGGCCATGCGATTTTACATTTTTCATCTTTGTCTGGACCACCATTGAACATTTGTTTCTGTAGTGCATTAATGACATTTTCAAAGTCCCCACTAACCTACTTACTGGGAACTGTATGTCTGTTTACACATAATTTGATAAATTTTGAGTATACTTAAGTGACTTATGATTTGTCTTTTTGTTCTATTTTTCTTTGAATGGTTCATTTTTCCATCACTTTTCTTGGCTGGAAGTTCTGTWCTTGATTTCCCTAAAACATTTGTAGTACTCCTTTCTCATAAATTATATAGCCTTACCCTGTGCACATAAGAATTAAACTCAGTTACCATTGAGCTACTTCTCCAATTCTATTTTTTTTAAACAAGTTCTTCGTAAGTTGCTAAAGGTCTGGGAATATAGGTGTGTGCACTGTTCCTTCTGGTATATACAGCTTTTACAGTCATTTATGTAATAACCTTGTGCTGAGTGACACTAGAATAAGGAGCTACATAGTAGTCCAAAATCTCACAAGGTGAGTGTGTAATCCCAGAGTAATGGATATAACATTAGCATACAGAGTGACAGATACATATGAGAAAGGGCCATATTTTGATGAAATGTTCTGAAAGCTGGATATGGTAGCTCACACCTGTAATTCCAATTACTCAGGAGACTGAGGTGGGTGGATCACAAGTTTGAGGCCAGCCTGGGCAACTTAGACCTTGTCTCAAAAGAAAGTGTTCTTCGCAGAATTTTTGCAGCCCTTGAGGTCAAGTCTGTTCTTGTTTTGGTTTTTGGCAGGTCTTTTAAAAGTTTTTGTATTGTGTTTTGAGTCCTGGTTCTTTTGTGCATGCTA